CCCTTGTTCTGCCCAAATAGCTCTATTTTAGTTTCATCAGTGCTGAATAGTTGAACGATGCACATTGACTCCATCAGCAGCAAGATGATGTTGTAGGTCTTTGGTGCTGGTCTGTGGGTTGACTCTGACTGTTCTCAACATCCTTCACTTCTGTTTATTGGAGATTTGTCTTGGTCGGCCACTTTCAGCCTACAGTTGAACTGTGTATGTAGTCCTCCATTTTCTCACAATGTTTCTCACAGTGGAGACTGAAAGCTGAAATCTCTGAGATAGCTTTCTGTATCCTTCCCCTAAACCATGACGGTGAACAATCTTTGTTTTCAGCTCGTTTGAAAGTTGTTTTGAGACTCCCATGCTGTGACGCTTCAGAGAAGATGCAAAGAGAAAAACTTACAATTGCCTCCCTTAAGTACCCTTTCTCATAATTGGAGTCACATGAGTATGAAGGTCAAGGGTCACTGAACTTACCAAACCAAATTTGAGTTCCAATAATTAGTTCTAAAGGTTTTGAAATCAAAATGACAGTGCCCAAATTTATGCACCTGCCTAATTTTGTTTAACCAATTATTGCACAATTTCTGTAAATCGTATAAACTTCATTTCACTTCTCAAATATCACTGTTTTTCCCCTATATGATATTTTTAACTGATTTTATCCAAACAATGATTTATAAAGGTAAATCAGGAAAATTAACAAGGCAGCCCAAACTTTAACACCCCACTATAGTTTTTCAAGGAGTTGTGTTTTTTATTTAATTAAAATTTCAGTATTTCCCAGTAGAAACTGGAGGTGAACATGGGTGGGTTCAGTTTAATCATAAAGCATTTGTTTTATTTATTTGCCCATCAGGTCCACCATCTTATGATTTGAACAACATACTCTGAACATTTGGAAGGAAGTGTTACTTTTTTATGATGTTTTGAATGAATATAAAATGACAGATGAGCTAAATAAATATTGGTTTTTTCCTACAGATTAGGATCTGTTTCTGTTATTACAGGACATTTATTTATTCATTAGAGCTTTGAACACTGAGTGGACAACTTTAATTTTATTCTGTGATTATTAAAACATCTGAAAGTTTATGTGAAGATAAATCATTTATCGATATTTTATTCCTGCTTCTTGTTCAGCATCACTGGCAGCTCTAACCAATAATCAGGAGTCAACTACTGTTAGTTTTCAGGCAAGAAAGAACCCGGGGGCACACGCAGCTTCAAAAAGGCAAAAGTAAAGATTTATGAAACAAAACATGCTGACAGTGGAACTCCAAAAAATAAAAATAAATAAACAAACAAACCAAACAAACAATAAACCTCATTTGGAATGGCATGACAAGACAAGGAACCATCACAGGCAGTAAAAAGCACAATGATCAGACAAACGCTGAAGACAGGACAGAATATAAAGGCCGAGAAAACAAGAAACACCTTGGAAAAAAACAGGAGGAGCAGGTGAGAGTGGGCGGGGCTGGAGCAAAGGCAGGCAGGAGGGGGTAAACAGAAAAAGACAAGACAGAAAACCAGAATAGAACCAAAATAAAACATTAACACTGACATAAACTCAGAATAGTCAGGCAATGAGTGGAACTGGTTAACCAAAACACAGGAGGCAGATGAAAAAGTGATTTTACTTACAAGTGCAAGGAGAAAATGTACAAGTCCGGATCTGAAAAAAGGGGAAGAGTCCAGGTGAGTCTTCAATGAGGATAGGATCATGAATGATAAATATCTTTATGTAATGAAAATTCTTTCTTACAGGTTCTAGAAGAATAAGTTGGCTTTGAGGTGAGGTTTCCTTTGAGAGGTTCAAAAGTTTCTTCAGGCAGAGTGGCATAAACAATCCTCCTTGGTTCCTTTAGATGGTTTCCTGGGCAGACCAAAAACTCCAGACGATTCAATGACAGCGGTCTCCTTAAAGAGCAAAACACATTCAGGTTAGCAAAGATTACTTTAAAACTTTCAATAACTATAATGGCTTGAGCACTACCAAAATGGTGTTATGCATCAGTCTGGAGTCACTTTTAAAGCCCAGGCTGTCATCAGGCAGATTGCACGCAGGTGGTGCAATTAGGAGCAGGAACCAAGCAGAAAGTGAACAGCAAAAACCTCCAATCATCACAAACGCAGACACAGACCATAACAACTACACGTTCTACATGCCTGCCACATGAATATTACAGAAACACAAAAAATAATTATGTGATCACACCTGAGGTACATTTAAAATCTCCAACAAACTTGACCTGTTTGGGACTCTAGTGCAGTCAAAAGAAAAAAACAAAAACAAAACATTTTTATCCAGTTTTGGCTTCCATTTATTTGATTTCAGTTCACTTCTGAATTCATGTATATTTGTTTTCAAATTTCGGATCAGTCATGCCCCTTCTTATCTGTGAACTGCTGTAGCCATATGTACCACAGCAGCACTCTCTGAGGTCAGCAGATCAGCTGTTTATCCAAAGATGCAGAGATAGAAGGTCCCTCATGCCATAATTCTTACAAGAGACTCTATATA